AAGAATAAACGTAAGTCAATTTTTATATTAAAGATTTTCTCAATAATTATAGTTATTTTTATATAACAACGATTTACATAATCTTGTTTTTATTTGTGTTTCAGATCATCGTTGGAATGGTATTCACATTTTATTAATTAAATTCATTTAGAAATTCGTTTAACACTAGATTTTTTCACTATTTTTTAAAAATTTACAAAAATTGTTTGAATGAAAAAGTCGATAGAGGAGAGGAATTAATATTAATGTATATTTCTTTACAGCATTTAAAATTAACATATATTTTAAAGAAATATATTCTACTTTACAATTTTAATTAAATTTAAATTTTATTAAATTACAATTAATTAATATATTTCTATTTAATAAATATGTAACAAAAAAGTTTGAAATGAATCACATTTGCTTAGTCCACAAATCTAGTGTTAAATGAATTAACTGCATGTAATGCAGTTTTATAGTCATTCTTTGTGCATTGTCATCGTCCTCCTGAGGATAGGAGATCTATTGTGCATTCATCAATAAAGATTTAAAGTAAGTATATTTTTGTATTAAATAATTCCTCAAAAATTTTAATGATTTTCTGTAATAGTAATGATATTAATAGTATTGTTTTTTATTTCAGTTTCAGATTGCAATCGTGCACGAATGGCCCAATGAAGTGACCGGGAGTGAAATTTTTGTTCTTGCATTTGACTGCGAGCAATGCAGTCTTTAAATTAGTGCAGTTTAGAATCAGTGATCGGGCGAGTAAWAAGTTAAAATCAAACGCGAATTAGAGTCAGTGTTGTTCGTCGTATAATAAAATATCGGTTTCGTGATAAGAAACTCATCTATAGTTTCTTATTTTCGTTTATACCGCGTTTTTAGATTCACGCGAGGTGCATCACCATGGTGCAATAGAACTGCATCTCCTTGGAATGCATCGTAAGTATTCATTTGTATTTACATTTTATTCGATTTTATTTTACATGATTTTAAATTATATTCCAAATAACTTATCGTTTTGTTCTATTTTATTTTACAGACATAACCATGGATTCTCTTTCTTTCGAAGATGTTGAATGAATTCTTCGATGGATTTTTGGTGGATCTTCGATGGATTTTCTCCCATGGCAAATCGAGTATTGTCTTCCATCGTCAGACTACAATATTTGCTGTGAAGTAGGAGTGTTTTGGAGCCATCGCAGAACTTCTTAAACCGCGAGTTTTTATTTAAAGTCCCTCCAGTGCTCAATCATGCCGAGGATGAAAGGTCCAAATCGGCACGAGTTACTGGTTGTAATTATTTAAATAAATTATTGACGAGCACATGAGTAATTTCTTTTTAGGAGTTACTCATGAAAATTGTATATTKTATTGTATGTTTTATTATTAGTTCAGGATAGGTTTTCTTGTCTCATCGGTTAAATTCATTTAATTAATAATGTAATTAATTAATGCACTTTCTTTTTCTTATTACGTGTTTTGTCTCTGTTTTGTTGTGGTGAAATCGAGCATTAATTTATTCGTTTTCGTCCAGAAAAAGCATGTAAAAAATTTCTTACATGCATTGCTTTGTACTTAGTTTATCTAATCGCAAATAAATTTGAAATATCGATACCTCGATATTATAAATAAATGAGCAAGAAAACAAACCAATTCGCGACGGATAGACTCTAGCAGTTAAGTGGTGGCTCAAAGCCCAGTTCTTTTATTAGAACAGCCAACTTAATGAAAGAAGTCGTCCGAGGTATTAAAAATTTTTTGAAAATTCTTTAAATCTCTTAAGATTTTTTAAAATTTCTTTGAAAGTCATTATAAATAACTTGTAGAGTCACAGCCCGTTTAGCTTTATGAGAGAATCTTTTTATATATTAATAAACTTTTAGATCAGGATTTTCAGCTTCTAATATACTAATCCCCCGTTTCTCCCCCCCATACTTCCTGCGTTCTCACCTATGCGTGTGCCCAGGTGTTACACGTATGGGTGAGAAACAGTTAGTGTGGGTTTAGTATTAAGTTTTTTCCCTATTGGCGGCTGTTATTGTGCTAGTGGTTGCACGATGTACTTTACACCTGTGTGTGCGTATTAGGTAGTGTGTATTGTACATCGTTTCGCGATAGTTTTTAATTAATACATCATTTAATGCTGAGGTTACTACTTTTA